GAGGCAGGAAAATTGCTTCAACCTGGGAAGTGGAGGCTGCAGTGAGCTGAGATTGGTCCACCGCACTCCAGCCTGGGTGACAGAACAAGACTCCGTCTCAAAAAATAAAAATAAAAAATAAAGAAAAATTAACTACAGGCCAGGAGTGGTGGCTCACACCTGCAATCCCAGCACTTTGGGAAACCGAGGCAGGTGGATCACGAAGTCAGGAGATGGAGACCATCCTGGCCAATATAGTGAAACCCTGTCTCTAATAAAATACAAAAATTAGCCAGGTGTGGTGGTGCACGCCTGTAGTCCCAGCTACTTGGGAGGCTAAGGCAGGAGAATCGCTTGAACCTGGGAGGCGGAGATTGCAGTGAGCTGAGATCGTGCCACTGCATTTCAGCCTGGCAAAAGAGTGAGACTCCGTCTCAAAAATAAATAAATAAATAAACAAACAAACTACAGACATCATACTATCTAACTTCAAAATATACTGCGCAGCTACAGTAACCCAAACAGCACAGTACTGGACTAAAAACAAACACATAGACCAATGGAAGACAATACAGAATCAAAAAATAAATCCATTTATTTACAGCCAATTCATTTTTTTAAAGGTGCCAAGAACTTACATAGGAGAAAGGGCAGTCTCCTCAACAAACAGTGCTGGAAACACTGAATATCCACATGCAGAGAAATGAAACTAGATCCCATCTCTAACCATATACAAAAACCAAATCAAAATAGATTAAAGATTTAAATGTTATGGCCTGAAACTATTAAACTAATAGAAGAAAACACCAGGGAAATGCTTTGAACATTGGTCTGAAAAAAGATTTTTCTTTGGGGTAAAATCTAAAAAGAGAAAACAAAAGCAAATAAAAAATGAGCAAATAAAGAAATGAGATTACATCCAATTAAAAAGTTTCTGCACATTTAAGGAAACAATCAACAGAATGAAGAGACAACCTACAGAATGGGGGAAAATATATGCAAACTATCCATCTGACAAGTGATTAATAGCCAAACTATATAGGAAACACAACTCAATAGCAAAAAGAAAAGAAGAAAGAAAAGAAAATCCAATTTAAAAATGGGCAGGCAGGGCCAGACAAAGTTGCTCACATCTATAATCCCAGCATTTTGGGAGGTCCAGATAGGAGGACTTGCTTGAATCCAGGCATTTAAGACCATCCCGGGCAACACAGTGAGACCCCATTATCTGCAAAAATAAATAAATAAATTGGCCCAGTGTGGAGGCTGCACACTTGTAGTCCTAGCTACGCAGGAAGCTGAGGCAGGAGGATTGCTTGAGCCCAGGAGGCTGCAGTGAGCCAAGATCGAACCACTGTCCTCCGGCCTGGGCAACAAGAACAAGATCCTGTCTAGGAAAAAAAAAAAAAAAAAAAAAAGTAAATGATATAAACAGACATTTCTCAAAAGAAAATATACACATGGAAGATAAGTATATGAAAAATGTTTAATCATCAGGGAAATGCAAATCAAAACCACAATGAGATATCATCTCCCTCCAGTTAAAGTATCTATTACTAAACATACAAAAAACAGACACTGCTGAGAAAGCAGAGAAAAGAGAATGCTCGTACACTGCTGCTGGGAATATAAGTTTACATGGCCACTATGGACAACAGTATAAAGGTTCATGAAAAAACTACAATAGATCTATCATATGGTCCAGCAATCCCACTGCTAAGTATATATCCAAAAGAAAGAAAATCAGTGCATTAAAATTATAAATGAAATTTACAACATTTTGAATTTATAGCATTCATTTATTTATCTATGAATTCAATGCAAGGAAACAGCTACCACCCATGTTTACTGCAGCACTATTCACAATATCCAAGATGTGGATCAATGTAAGTATCCATCAACAGATAAATGGATAATGAAAATGTGTTACATATACACAATCAAATACTACTCAACCACGCCCATGTGTGACAACAGAAATGGAACAGGAGGTCATGATGTTAAGTGAAATAAGCCAAGAACCTAAGGAAAAATAGCATGTCTTCACTCCTACGTGGGAATTAAAAAAATTTCATCTTACATAGGTGCAGAGTAGAATGATGGTTACCAGAGGCTGGGAAGCAAGGAAGGGTGGTGAGAGATACAAAGACTGGTTGGTTAATGAGTTCAAACATACATTTAGATAAAAGGAATAAGTTCTAGTGTTACCAGAGTAGGGCGACCATAGTTCACATTTATATTTCAAAATAGTTAGAAGATTTGAAATGTTCCCAACACCAAAAGATAAATATCTGAGGTGATGAATACCCTAATTCATCACCCTGATTTGACTACCACACATTATTTGCATGTATCAAAATAACACTTGTGGCTGGACACGGTTGGCTCATGCCTATAATCCCAGCACTTTGGGAGGCCAAACTAGATGGATCACTTGAGGTCTGAAGTTTGAGACCAGCCTGGCCAATATGGTGAAATAATGTCTCTATTAAAAATACAAAAATTCACTGGGCGTGGCGCACACCTGTATTCCCAGCTACTAGGGAGGGTGAGGCAGGAGAATCACGTGAACCCAGGAGGCAGTGGTTATAGTGAGCTGAGATGGCACAACTGCACTGTAGCCTGAGAGATGCAAGCAAAGAAATTAATTAATTAATTAATACATGTATCCCACAAATAATTATCAATTTTTAAAAGCAGAGATGTAAACATAAATAGATAAAATGATTCTTCTAAATAAAGTATAAATAAATCTTCAGTTTAATTGACTTATTTGCCATCTGTGCTAGATGCTAGGACAATTAAATAGATTTACATCGAGCTAGACACCACTGCCTAAAGAATATTGACCAACCCAAGCTAAATTTTGTCTCTGGTGAGGTGTCTCCACTGTTATCATGGCCTACCCAACAGTGACCTGGCAAATACTCAACAGTGACCTGGCAAAAGAAATAAAAGCATGGTTTTCTAATTAAACAAAGCTTTAGGGTAAAAGAATAAAGATTTTATAAAGTATAAAATGGCTAAATGGATCATGAGGACAGGAGCAGTGGCTCACATCTGTAATCCCAACACTTTAGGAGGCTGAGGTAAGAAAATTGCTTGAGTTCAGGAGTTCAAGACCAGCCTGGGCATCACAGAAAGACCTTGTCTCTACAAAGATGGAAAAAAAAAGTTTTTTAATTAGCCAGGAGTCATGGTGTACATCTGTAGCCCTGGCTACTTGGGAGGCTGAGGTAAGAGGATCTCTTGAGCCTAAGAGATTGAGGCTGTAGCAAACCATGGCTGAGCCACTGCACTCCAGCATGAATGACAGAATAAGACCCTGTCTCAAAAAAAAAAAAAAAGACATGAAATTTTATGGCATAGTTGGGCATGGTGGCTCATGCCTGTAATCCCAGCACTCTGGAAGGCTGGGGCAGAAGAACTGTATGAGCCCTGACATTAGAGACTAGCCTGGGCAACATAACAAGATCTCATCTCTACAAAAAATTTAAAAATTAGCCAGGTATGATGATGTGCGCCTGTAGTCCTAAGTACTTGGGAAGCTGCGGGCGGAGAATTGCCTGAGTCCAGGAGTTTAAGGCTTTAGTGAGCCATGATCGTGCCACTGCATTCCACCTTAGGCAACAGAGAGAGACCCTGTCTCAACCAAAAAAAAGAGAGAGGAAAGAAAGAAGAAAATAAATTTTATGGCATTGAAGAGGAATTATCTATAGTCAGCTGAAACCACGTCACCGTACTCCAGCCTGTGCAAGAGGGGAGGACCCTGTCTCAAAAAAATGAAAAAATAAAAACTATTTATTAAGAAGTAATTTTAAAAATTTACAAAAATTTTTCATAAGCAGTTATTAAGACAACCTTCCGATCTAACAGAATATAAACTGCTCCTTCTTTTAGTAGTCATTATTCTACTATTAAGTTCATCTTTGCAATTCTATCAGAAATACTAGCCTGACAATCATAAAATCTAATTTCTCTAAGTAACATATATAAAACAAAATTATACAATACAGTAAAATTCCATAGTTTATTTTGCAAAGGCATGCCAATATACAAAAATTATCAATATTTCAATAATCTATGTTTCTTTAGTTTTGACATTTTCCCCCCACCATTTAACATATGCAGCTCTTACTAGACCTTTTAAAAATATGTGCTTGATTCTTTTCTTGTTCATATGATCAATCACTCAATTATGGCTAATAAGGAATAATGGCATAAGCTTCCCTCTCATCCCTGATAAATGTTCCCAGGACAAATTTGCATAAACCAGGTTAAAAAAAAAAAACAAATACAAAATAACTAGACTAAATGTAATATGAACACATTCTGGCAGATGAGTCTTTTTTTTTTTGGAGACAGTTGCTCTATCACCCAAGCTGGAGTGCAGTGGTGCAATCTCAGTTCACTGCAACCTCTGACTCCTGGGTTCAAGCAATCCTCATACCTCAACCTCCTGAATAGCTGGGATTACAGGCTCATGCCACCACACCCAGCTAATTGCTTGTATTTTTAGTAGAGGCAGAGTTTCACAATGTTGGCCAAGCCGGTCTGGAACTCCTGATCTCAAATGATCCACCCACCTCAGCCTCCCAAAGTGCTGGGATTAAAGGCATAAGCCAACTGCACACATCCCCAACTTATTTTTCTTAATTTTTTAAAAATATAAGAGACAGGGGGCTGGGTCTGATGGCTCACATCTGATTCCAGTATTGTGGGAGGCCCAGGTGGGCAGATCAGCTGAGGTCAGGACTTTGAGACCAGCCTGACCAACATGGAGAAATCCCATCTCTATTAAAAATATAAAATTAGCTGGGTGTGATGCTGCACACCTGTAATCCCAGCTACTCAGGAGGCTGAGGCAGGAGCTTGAACCTGGGAGGCGGAGGTTGCGGAAAGCAGAGATGACACCATTGCACTCCAGCCTGAGCAACAAGAGTGAAACTCCGTCTCGAGAAAATAAATAAATAAAAATAATAGAGAGACAGGGTCTCACCATGTTGCCCAGGCTGGTCCCAAACTCCTGAGCTCAAGCAATCCTCCTACCATGTTGGCCTCCCAAAGTGCTAGGATGACAGGTGTGAGCGACCATGCCCGGCCAAGTCCAACTTTTAATGCTTCTTTGATTGTCAGCAAATCCCTATTATGTAAAATGGCAGATATTAGTGTATAAAGCCTAAATACCAGATATAAAAAAGCACAATCTTTGTTTAATTTTTAGACTGTCCAGGAGTCTTTCAAGCCTTTCAATAAGTTTAACCAACTCAATGAAAGTGACATATGGACACCATATACTAAGGCAGTGGGAGGTGAACTGAGGGTTAACTTTTACGTCATGACAGGAATGATGCCAACGAACTTAAACACTAGAGGAATAATAATCAATACATAATCCTGGGGCTAAGAAGAAGGGAGACTAAGGGCTTCAAAGCACCCAGTCAATCACTTTCCTACAGTTTTCAGAAACACTCTGTCAAACTGTTTTTTCTCTATTCTTACACCACAACAATACAGAAGAGATAGTGAGGGGCTTTCTCCACGCATCAAACAGTGGACGCCAGTTGGGTGTCCCCCAATTCAGACATTACCCGGAGATGGTATCATATCCTACAGGTTAGGGGGCTCAATCCCCCACAAGACTGCCCCCCAACACTCAGACATCATTTAGCTCAGGAACTTCTGACCAACTAGCTTCAAGCTGTGGTTCTCACAACCCCATCTTTACGTTTAATTAATATTCCAGAGTGGCTCACAGAACTCAGGGAAACACTTAAGTAGGCTTACTGGTTTATTATATAGGATACTACAAAGGATACAGATAAAAAGACACATAAGGTGAGGCATGGGGAAAGGGATGTGACGCTTCCATGCCCTCCTTCCCTGGGTGTGCCTCCCACCAGGAATATCCATGTGTTCAGCTATCTGGAAGCTCTCCAAATCCAGTCCTTTTATGGAACCTATAAAACTTCAGCATTGCTCTTCCCCCATAACCATGTATAGGGTTAGGACCCTCTCTCTGGAGAAACTTAAAACCCACAATCAGAAAAGTGGGTTAAGATTAGAGTCCTGCTTTGGGGCAGGTGAAAAGAGGGCAGAAAAGGTTCTATTTCCTGAGGTCTGCCCCTGAAGCCTAACAATACCCAACATTATAACAAAAGACTGTAAAACGGGACATGGGAGTTATAAACCACGACCAGTAAATGAAAACCTATATATATATATACACACATAACACCATACCTACCCATTCATTTAAGTGTGTCCTACAATATTGAAAAAGTGCAACAGAGACTTAAATTACTAAGAATAAAAATAATTTATTAAAAAGTAAGTTGTTTTTTTTTTTGAGACACAATCTCACTCTGTCACCCAGGCTGCAGTGCAGTGGTATGAATTCAGCTCACTGCAACCTCCGCCTCCAGGTTCAAGCAATTCTCTGCCTCACCCTCCTGAGTAGCCCGTCACCATGCATGGCTAATTTTTGTATTTTCAACAGAGACAGGATTTCATCATCTTTGCCAGGCTGGTCCTGAACTCCTGATCTCACGATCCACCCACCTCGGCCTCCCAAAGTGCTGGGATTACAGGTGTCAGCCATGGCGTCGAGCCAGAAAAAATTACCATTATTAGTATTATTTTTAAGACAGAGTCTCGCTCTGTTGCCCAGGCTGGAGTGCAGTGGCGTGACCTTGGCTGACTGCAACCTCTGCCTTCCAGGTTCAAGTTATTCTTCTGCCCTAGCCTCCCAAGTAGCTGGGACTGCAGGCATGCACCACCATGCCCAGCTAATTTTTGTATTTTTAGTACAGACAGGGTTTCACCATATTGGCCAGGCTGGTCTGGAACTCCTGACCTCATGATCTGCCTGCCTTGACCTCCCAAAGTGCTGGGATTACAGGTGTGAAGCACCATATCTGGCCAGAAAAAAATACTTTAAGATTTTTTTTTTCTTAAGACACAGGGTCTTGCTCTATTGTGCAGGCTGGAATGCAGTGGAACAATCATATATCACACTGCAGCCTTGACCTCCTGAGCTCAAGTGATTCTCCTGCCTCAGTCTCCCAACTCCCTAGGATTACAAGTTTGTACCACCGTGCCTAGCTAGTTTTTCTTTCTTTCTTTTTTTTTTTTGAGACGTAGTTTTCCTCTGCTTGCCCAGGTTGCTGGAGTGCAATCATGCAATCTTGGCTCACCACCTCCTGGGTCTTAAATTACCAAACTCAGGTGATCTGCCTGCCTCAGTCTCCCAAAGTGCTGGGATTACAGACTGGCCAGTTTTTTTTGGTGTAGTTTGTTTGTTTTTAATTTTTTGTTGAGATGGGGTCTCACTATGTTGCCCAGGCTGCTACTGAACTACTAGGTTCAAGCAATCCTCCCGCCTTGGCCTCCCCAAGTGCTGGGATCATGGGTAGGAGACAGCACACTCAGCCAAAGGTTATTTTTCAGTGTGAACTGAAGGTTCCTAATGATTAGGGTGACCAGATAATTTACAAACAAAACTGGATTTAAAAAAAAAAGAAAAAAAAAAAAAAAAAAAAAAACTGGGTCAATTCTAAGAGTGAATAGGGCTGTGGAAATAATTAATTGATCTACAACAGGTGTTACCGAGCCTTGTTTCAGAAAGCCCAGGAAAAACTATCCTACCCATTACCTGCATGATACATGATACTCTTTTTTGTTTGTTTGTTTGTTTTGAGTGAGGGTATCACTCTTATCACCTAGGCTGGAATGTAGAGGTTTGATCAAAACTCACTGCAGCCTTGAACTTCTGGCCTCAGGTGATTCTCTTGCTTCAGCTTCTAGAGTACCTGGGACTATAGGCATATGCCATCATTCTTGGTTAATTGGCATAATATACAAAGATCAGCTTAAAACCCCCAAACTGACCTACAAACTCTTTATTTCACTTCATATGTCACAGCAAATTGACTACTGGCCATTCCACTAACCAGGCCTCTGAATCTTCACTTCCTAGAAGGCTTTGACTTCCTTTCTCTAACTATAGAGGTCTTGCATCTTCTCTGTTAAGTGACACGATCTCAATGCAGTCACCTCTTCCTTTCCCATTGAATTAACATATTCATATCTCAAAGGTTCTTAATCTGGAGCCAAGAAATGGCCTGATGAGGCCAGGTGTGGTGGCTCACACCTGTAATCCCAGCACTTTGACAGGCCGAGTTGGGCAGATCACTTGAGGTCCGGAGTTCGAGACCAGCCTGGACAATATCGTGAAATCCCAACTCTACTAAAAATACGAAAATTAGCCAGGTGTAGTGGTACAAGCCTATAATTACAGCTATTCAAGAGGCTGAGGCAGGAGAATCACTTTAACTGGGAGGCAGAGGTTGCAGTGAGCCAAGATTGAAACACTGCACTGTAACCTGGGCGACAGAGTGAGATTCCATCTCAAAAAATAAAATAAAATAAAATAAAATAAAGAAAAAAAAAAGAAATGACCTGATAGACATCTGGGAAACTCTGAAATTATACATAAACACTGAATATAAGTTCTTCTTGAAAGAGAAAGTATTACAACTATTTTCATATTCTAAAAGTGATTCATAACCCAAAATATTAAGAATCACTTTTCCATCATATCACTTTATATTACAATTATTTATTTTCTTATCACCCTCAGTAGACTATGAGTCCCTTTTAAGGCATCCTATCTATATCCACAGGAATAAATGGCATGTTGAACCAAAACATTGGTTCAACATACCATTTGGTTAAAAGATAGGTTTCACTCCCTAATTCCCCTAAATTACATTAGGTTCACTGTAACACACCTAGAATTTGCTTCTAATATTACTACCTTCATCCTCAAACTTTAAAATTTCCTTTCATATGGCTGGACATGGTGGCTCACACCTATAATCCCAGCACTTTAGGAGGTCGAGGTGGGAGGATCACTTGAGTCCAGGAACTTGAAACTAGCCTGTACAACAAAGTAAGAGTCCTCAAAATAAATAATTATTCTCCTTTCATTTATGAATTTGAATCAACTATCTAATATAAAAAAAATTAAATGGGCTGGCCATAATGGCTCATTGTCTATAATTCCAGCACTTTGGGAGGCAGAGGCAGGAGGATTGCTTGAGCTCAGGAGTCTAACCAGCCTGAGCAGCATATTAAGACCCTGTATCCACCAAAAATATTTTTAGTCATAGTAGCATGTGACTATAGTCCCAGTTACTTGGGAGACCGAGGCAGGAGGATCACTTGAGGCCAGCAGTTCAAGGCTGCTGTCAGCCATAATCATGCCACTGCACTGGAGCCTGGGCAACAAGAACAAAATTCTGTCTCAAAAATTAAAAACAAAACAGTGTTCACTCTTCTACACTTTCAGCATTTTAAAAATATGTAATCAGGGAGAATAAAAAGTAAAATTTTTTAAATTTAAAGTTTAGAAAATGGTAAACTGATAACATTTTTAAGAAAAATCCTGAAAGAAAATAAAATTAAGTGTCAAAAAAGAATAATACAAGGCTGTACTCTGGGAGGCCAAGGTAGGTGGATCACTTGAGGTCAGAAGTTTCAGACCAGCCTGGCCACTATGACAAAACCCTGTCTGTACTAAAAATACAAAAATTAGCCAACTGCGGTGGCCCGTGCCTGTAGTCCCAGCTACATGGAAGGCTGAGGTGGAAGAATCAGTTGAACCCAGGAGGCAGAGGTTGCAGTGAGCCAAGATCACAACACTGCACTCCAGTCTGGGCAACAGAGTGAAACTCCATCTCAAAAATAATAATGATAATAATAATAGTAATAATACAGAGGTTAATATTTATAGAAAGGAAAAATAAGACAGGTCACTCTATTTTACCATAGTATTTGTTTTACTCCATTTCTTAGATCTCTATGGGGAAAGGGCCTATTCACCTTATTCTATTATAGACATCTCATTCTATTCAGAAATTCACTGAACAATTTTTGCCAAAAACTTGTCATTTGTCAAACATACACTGCCTGCAATAACAAGGATTCACACACAAAAGCACACACACTATCTGACAACCTTCAGACACTCACCGTGCTGTAGACTGCTGAGACAGTGGGAGTGAAGATTCGATCCTCAAGAGGCTGTTGCACAGGTCCTCTAGGAATTCTAGAAGAGCGAGTTAAGGATAACAGAATACAAAAATGGATGCTTAATAGAGAAACTTGCCACCACAAAATTCCACCAACAACTGAAGCATTTTCCAATTAGTGAGTTATATACTTCCACCCAATTATTGAGTTATATACTTCTCCACTAAAACTAAAAAATAAAATTGTTCAGATGTCCTAAAATAACTAAATCAATGTCTTCAAAAGCCTTCCCATGATAAACATTCCAGAGAAACTCAAAATAAACACAACTATATGGCAAGTACCAAATTTTATGCCCATGATCAGACTCTGCCACCTTTACTTTCTACTGAAAAAACAAAACAAAACAAAAAAACAGCTGGGCGCAGTGGCTCATGCCTATAATCTCAACACTTTGGGAGGTCAAATTGAGAGAATCACTAAAGCTCAAGAGTTCAAGACAAGCCTGGCCAACACAGCCAGACCCTGTCTCTATTAAATTAGCCAAGTGTGGTCACCAGCACCTGCAGTATCAGCTACTCGGGAGGCTGAGGTGGTAGGATCACTTGAACACAAAAGTTTGAGTTTGCAGTGAGCAATCATTGTGCCACAGCACTCCAGCCTAAGGAATAGAGCAAGACTCTGTCTCAAAAAACAAAAACTAAGGAAGTACACAAGCAAAATATTCAGAAGGATAAATTATTCATCAAGTGAAAATTGCTGACAAAGGCCCACTCCGTTTTAACTACATAGAAATGGCAAACACAGGGCGGGCGCAGTGGCTCACGCCCATAATCCCAGCACTTTGGAAGGCCAAGGCGGGCAGATCACAAGGTCAAGAAATCAAGACCATCCTGGCCAACATGGTGAAACTCCGCCTCTACTAACAGTACAAAAACTTAGCTGGGCATGGTGGTGTACGCCTGTAGTCCCAGCTACTCAGGAGGCTGAGGCAGGAGAATGGCTTAAAGCTGGGAGGAGGAGGTTGTAATGAGCTGAGATCACGCCACTGCACTCCAGCCTGGCAACAGAGCAAAACAATGTCTCAAAAAAAAAAAAGAAAAAGAAATGGCAAATACAGTTGTTTCTTTTTCTATTTTATGTTACTTTCCTGACAGTCACCACCAGCTCCCTATTTTTAAAAAGAGGCTATCCACCATAATTTAGTATAAAATATTTCATGATGTTGGCAGGACATTCTATTAAAACACAAAAGACTGTCATTTTATTCAGCTTCAAAACAGAAAGATGTAACCTCTTCTACATGGTAAGATGATATTTTTGGAATAAAAAGTACTAGTATTTTCTTAAATTCTGGACTTATTTAAGAATGACAACCAAAAGACTGGCACCAAAAGATCTACAGCAATTACCTCCGGATGGTGGGTTTGCATAACTGTATTATGTTTTTTACAATGTTATTACAAGTATTATTGTAATATCACTATATTATAAAAATATGAATTATTTGTATGATTTAAATATATTTTTCAATGACCCTAAATATAGTAACCTGGGCTGGGTGCGATGGCTCACACCTGTAATCCCAGCATTTTGGGAGGCTGAGGCAGTAGATCACTGGAGCCTAAGAGTTCAAAACCAGCCTAGGCAACATAGGAAACCTTTTAGCCTAACCAACCATGTTGGCTAATCTTTAAAAAAATTTTTTTTAAATTAGCCAAGTGTGGTGACACAAGCCTGTAGCCCCAGCTACTTCAAAGGCTGAGGCTGGAGGATCACCTGAGTGCATGCAGGAGGTCCAGGCTGCAGTGGGTCATGATCACATTGCATTCCAGCCTGGAGAACAGAGCGAGAGCCTGTCTCAAAAAATTAAGAAAAATACTAACCCAAAATAAGAGAGATTCTTTCCTTCAACCTAACAAAAACATTTAGTACTTTTTTTTGTTTGAGACAGAGTCTCACTTTGTCACCAGGCGCCAAGATGGAGTGCAGTGACACAATCTCGGGCTCACTGCAACCTCCGCCTCCCAGGTTCAAGCAATTGTAATGCTTGACCCTCCTAAGTAGCTGGGACTACAGGCATGCGCCACCACACCCAGCTAATTTTGCATTTTTTAGTAGAGACTGGGTTTCACCATGTTGGCCAGGATGGTCTCGATCTCTTGACCTCATGATCGACCCATCTCAGCCTCCCAAAGTGCTGGGATTACCGGCGTGAGTCACGGCGCCCGGCTTTAGTACTTTTCATATCACATTCCTTTCTAATTCAATGAGATCGTTCAGAAAACAAAGTGAGAGCTGCAAATAAGTTTTTAAGAATGACCACAAGTGGCCAGAGTCTGAAAGAATCATTCAAAGTAAAGTTTTTTACATCCAAGCAGCCACAGTCTACTATAAGTTTACACAGAGATAGAACAGGGAGCTGGGAGTGGTGGCTCACATCTGTAATCCCAGCACTCTGGGAGGCTGAGGTGGGCAGATCACAGAGGTCGGAAGTTCAAGACCAGCCTGACCAACATGGAGAAACTGTCTCTACTAAAAATACAAAATTAGCTGGGCGTAGTGGTGCATGCCTGTAATCCCAGTTACTCGGGAGGCTGAGGCAGGAGAATTGTTTGAACCCAGGAGGCAGAGGTTGCGGTAAGACAAGATTGTGCCATTGCACTCCAGCCTCAGCAACGAGAGCAAAACTCCGTCTCAAAAAAAAAAAAAAAAAGAAAGAAAGAAAAAGGGAAATCAAAAAAATCTGTACTTCAATCGTTAAAATTAGTCACACTGTAACAGTTTCTAGAGAGCTCTTTAAACAAGCAACCTCATACAACAGTTAAAAGCATTGCCATTATTTCCTAGACACTGAGAACTGTTTTTAAAATGCTGCACTGAAAAATAGCAAAGCTAGGCTGGGTGCGGTGGCTCACTCCTGCAATCCCAGCACTTTGGGAGGCCAAGGCAGGCAGATCACTTGAGGTCAGGAATTCAAGACCAGTCTAGCCAACATGGCAAAACCCCGTCTCTACTAAAAACACAAAAATTAACTGGGTGTGGTGGCGCACACCTGTACTCCCAGCTACTGGGAGGCTAAGGCAGGAGAATCAGTTGAACCCAGGAGGCAGAGGTTGCAGTGAGCCGAGATCACACCACCACACTCCAGCCTGGGCAACAGAGGGATACTCCATCCCAAAAAAAAGAGAAATAACAAAATTAAAACATTTCATGGCCAGGCACAGTGGCTCATGCCTGTAATCCCAGTACTTTGGGAGGCTGAGGCAGGAGGATCACGAGGTCAGGAAATTGAGACCATCCTAGCCAACATGGTGAAACTCCATCTCTACTAAAAATACAAAAATTAGCTGGGCATAGTGGCACACATCTTAGTCCCAGCTACTCAGGAGGCTGAGGCAGGACAATCACTTGAACCCAGGAGGCAGAGGTTGCAGTGAGCCGGGACTGTGCCACTGCACTCCAGCCTGGCGACACAGTGAGACTCCATATGAAAAAAAAAGATTTCATAAAGAAAAATACTTTATCCAAAGTGCATGTTCATGTATATATATACACATATGCATGTGTGTGTATATATACGTGTGTGTGTGTATATATACCTAAAAAGTTTTAGAACAAAAGCCCTTAAAATGTTCACTTATCAATTAACTCAGAATAAAGACTATTCCTTAGCTGAAATAAAATTTTCTTTGCATTTGAGTTCTGCAGTGTGGTTACACAATGGTGGAAAATATGAGGCCATTCTTTATTCTACAGTGACAAGTACTATTGCTGTCTCTAGCCAGGGCTAATTCTTGCTGTGTGAGAACAGGATTTCAAATAAGTATCTTCACAGATTCTCAGGATTTAGAAAATAATTAATAATAAAAGAAAATGATTATCAATACTACACCCAAAATGCTGAGTCACTCCACTTACCCTTAACAAACAGAAAGTTAAGAATCCTGATTTCTCTTACTTACCTTGTTATATAATAAGATTGCTATAAATACAAGATTTCTAAAGAGACAATCATATATTTGGCCAATAGTCCAGTAAGATTCTTTCTCCGTAGCCACAAATAAATAATGTTGATTTCATTTATTTAACTCCCTGTAAACTACCAACAAACTATTGTGAAGTAATATATTGTCTTAAAAGATCTTTTGTATGAAAAACAATTACATTAAAATAAAATGTCCTACCAAAAACTGAAAACAGAAAAGAATATCTGAATCTCAAACCCAGCTGTTAGCCTAACCAACCATGTTATCTTCACTGAATCCCTTAATGTTTTCTCCTGTAAACAGAGGCTCAACAAGATGCAGTAACTTGCCCAAGGTGAGGCTAAGTTAAGACACCAGGCCAGGTATCTCCATACTTGAAAACATATACTCTTCCTATTACACCAGGCCATCCAAGAATATAACACTTCATTGCCTAAGAAAAATGTCACAACCCGGTCAAAAGATGTTTGCCCTAACTACAGGAAAAAATACAATGGTTTATTTCATAAAAAAAAAAGATAATGGCATATCACCCTAAAACTTCTAAAAAGTCCAGAATTCTTGACCCAAGCTCAATCATCTGCCCAATGGCAAATGAGCATCCACTACCATAGACTGGTGAGGTAATAAGTGAAACCACAGGAATTAATTTTATGGAGTAATTTTCTCCTTTAATTCACAGTGCTGATAGTTGTACAACCTTGTAAATATGTTTTAAAAAATCACTGAACTGCACACTTTAGAAGTATGAATTCTATGGCATATATACGAATTACATCTCAATAAAAGAACTTGAGGCTCACGCCTATAATTCCAGCACTTTGGGAGGGCGAAGTGGGTGGATCACTTGATGCCAGGAGTTCGAGACCAGCCCTGCCAACATGGTGAAATCCCATCTCTACTAAAAATACAAAAATTAGCAGAGTGTGGTGATGCACACCTGTGATCCCAGCTACTTAGGAGGCTGTAGCAGGAGGATGACTTGAACCCAGGAGGCGTAGGTTACAGTGAGCCAAGATCGTGCCACTGTATTCCAGCCAGGGCAACACAGCAAGACCCTATCTCTTAATACTTTTTTTTTCCCACC